TTATAGTAAATATTCAAATTACATAAATATGGGCATTTTAAAATGAGAAGTACAATGAAAACCACTATATATTTCCGGTCTTTTTTCCTCTCGAAAAGCTCGGTCTAAGGAACCACCGCCCTTTTTGGCATTATCTCGGAGGAGAGCACGTTGTGAAAGGGCACGCCATTCTACGGCGGTTAGGTTAGACAAAATCCCACACCGAAGGATCAATATATGACCTTAAAGCAACGGCAAGATTTATACGTCAATGCAAGGGTGCGACTGCGAGCTGAAATAGCCCCTTCGCTGCTGAATTCATGATGCTCTCTAACAAGGAAATCGCATTATTGAGCAGATACAGTAACAATGCACAACCACTTGAGTTTTTGCACTGCTTTTGTGTTAAGCGCAAATATGCCCATATTTACTGGTAAATATCCTTATAATTAGTATTACTATTCAACGAAATCTTCTAATTTTGACATCCAATGCAAAATATAGCAATTACCGTCTTTTTTTTTTTTTTTACAGTGGAATACATATTAAAGGCTGCATTATGTATACAAATTCATGTACGTTTATCACAAATTAACAAAACTGTATACGTAAGTAAAATATAAAAACCTTAATCACTTACCAGAGCTTCACTTTCCAGACGAAAGAGCTTTTCTGTGTGCAGTAGTGGACTGACGCGCCGTTTGCGCAGCCTGAGAAAATATAGCCTGGAATATGCAAATGAGGAGGCGTGGCGACACGCAGCATCGCTTTCACAAAAGAATCGTTCACACTGTCAAGTTTTCCATTATTACATTAACAGATTTGTTTGCGCTGACGATTTTATTAAACGTATAAGCTTTAGAATATGTTTACAAATAAATGCATTGTTGCAGGTTTATTTTGCGAAACATATCCGGTTATGGAGTATGCTTCAAAGACGACATCTAGTGGCTGGTTATGGTACCTTACACTTATATTAAAGTTAGGCTTCCACTGGACTAGACACTAGACACTAGAATAGACACTCAACTTCATAAATGTAAGTGACAGTGAGGGACTCAGTGCAGTAAAACAGTTAAATTAACAGATTTTATATTCATCTATCTTCCACAGAAATGTTTTGATATCCTGTTTTCACATATTTTTCATAATGAATGGCTTCAGAATTTTGTAATATTTGATAAAGGATAAACATGTAACACAATTTAAAGTCATTCAACACTCACTTTGCCCATGTGAAAAAGTCATGACTCCACTCAGCCAGATGACCAAATCGAATTGGTAATCTCAGCTGACTGAAGTAGTCAGCACAAGATTTCTACAAGAATTCTACGCCATGATCAAATGAAATTCCAGAAGAAACGAGGAAAAAAAAATGTTGAAACTAACCACATAGGAAAGGGTTACGAAGCCATTTCTATGCTTTGGGACTGCACTACACCACAGTGAGAGCCAGTGTCTGTAAATGGAGAACACTCGAAACAGTGGTGAATCTTCCCAGGAAAGGTCAGTAGGCCAAAATGTGTCCAAGGTCACAGTGACGAATCATTCAAGAAGTCACAAAAGATCCCAGAAGGCCATTCCAAGAGCTGCAGGTCTTCTTAGCCTCAGCTACGGTCAGTGCTCATTATGCACAGCAAGAATGAGACTGAGTAAAAATAGCATTCATAGGGAGCGTAGAAACCCGTGCTGTCCAAAAGTAACGACAGTGTTCGTGTCACATTTGCAGAGAGAAATAATGTTTATGGACAGTCGGTCAAAAGGACTCTGGACGATGCATGTCCCACTCTGTCTGACATAAAGGAAAAAAACAGTGTTCCACAGTAAGAATGTAATACCCATAATCAGGGGTTAAATCAGAATCGGAGGGGGGGTGACAGGTAGTGAGTGGGGATGGGGGTCCTGAGTGAGCCATTCTGTATATAAATAAATTTGTTATTATTTGTATTCATGATCAAAATATTAGGATACCGCATGTAAATTTTTTGGCATGTTGTGTTACCACTTGAAAGCACCATAATATACACAAGAAAATATCTTTAATTGATATGGGTGTTGTACATATCGTGTGGTTAAATAACTTAACAACAATTCAAAATGGCTTATCACTACAAGTAAATTCTTAGTATTCAGTTGTGATGTGAAATTGCATTAAAACTTATTCACTGAGTTTTTGTTACATGTCTTACCTCTAGAAGAGTCTGGCAGTAAGTGAAAATTTAGCAGTAGTAAAGTAAACAAAACAAGTAAAAATAGAAAAACAAGGGTCACAAATCAAGGTGTTGTGTAAGAATATCTCAGCTAGGGCCCACCCCTTCATGCAGAAGATAAACATTATTTTTAGTGCAAAACTGACCTTTCATTTAAACCTTTCACTTTAAGGCTTTTACTGAATGTTGGGACACTAAGCAAAGTGCCATTTGGACATAAGGAGGTAGGGCTGAGTTCCACCTGGATCTACTTATATTTAAACCCTACTTCATTTGAACATGAGAGAGTAGCGTGATGGTGAGCTGATGCTTTGCTGCCTCAGGACCCGGAAGACTAGCTATTTTATTCAAGGAACCATGAATTCTGCACATTACCAGAGAAGTAGAATGTCTGTGATCTGAAGCTGAAGCATAACTGAGCTACATGCATTGTGGATACTGTGTCTGCACACCATGTTTGGTCTATGGCACTTCCTTATTTCATGGTCATGTACAGTATAGTGGTCACAGTGCAAAACCATCACATTTTTTTAAATAATTTGGGCTGTAGTGTTATTCTTGTCCCATTTTGTTAGTTATTATCTGCATTAAAAAAAAGGCAAAACATTTACGCAAAAAGCAACCTGAATATGCGTAGTGACCCTGTGCACCAACCTGTGCAGAATAACTGGGGTCACTTCCGTACTTCCTATGTGCTACTATTTTACCCTTCCCTGAAGAACATGAATCCTTTTCAGAAAACCATAGGTTCCTTCCTTATAAATACTAATATGTGTTGAGCTTGAAAGGAATGTGTGGTTTCTGATAGTCACCACTACGACTGGAGGGGATAACTGGAAGTATGAAATTTCCCCAAACCTCATTTGGTCAACGTAATTTATAATGTATTGTTGCACTTCATTCTTATCACTGCTGTGTCATTCCTTAGTGCTGAATGTAGGGCTGTGTGACCAGGTAAAAAATGTTATTACAATAAAAAAAAATTAACATCAGTCCATATTGACAAATTATCATGATGAATGTCAAATCATTATTTCTTTCCAGTTTAAAGACTGTCATTTTATATATTTACACTATTTATATAAATTTACACACACACAGAACTTCAAGCAAAATTTATTTGAACATGATTTATTAATTTAAAGATAATGTGAATCTCATCCAGAATGTTCTGCTCACTACTGCACAGTGCTGCATGAGTGTGAAGGTGCTGCATGAGTGTGAAGGTGCTGCATGAGTGTGAAGGCCACTTGGATATGTGGCTGGAAGATGGATGGATAGAACATAAAATCAGTTTAAAATTAAATGTAAAAGAATAATGTTAATCTTCCCTTGCAATGAATATTTGCAGTAGAATAAACCAAATGCATTGTTTATGTTGTTTAAAACACAATTCTTAACTGAAGTATGACATATTCGTATTTATATATATTTACATATTCATATAGTAACCTCTTCAGATTCACGAGTAGGAGCAGAATATGACCATGAATGTGAAATTTGGCAAATAATACTTACCCCCCCCCCCCCACACACACACACACACCTTAATCCATAACAGTCAGTTAGCCTGAAGGATAATATAAAAACTGTATTTATAACCAATTCATAAACAAACATAACTGTATTTTACATTTTGCATGTTAAACTGCTTTGTCAATTCTTACATAGATATTTTAATATAATATACAAAACATCTACATTATGTCCCTGTATGTACAAATTTACCACAGCATGCACTGGGAGCACTACGTTTAAAAATGCTAAATTAAAAAGTTTAAAAGTTACTGTGAGAAAGACAAGCTAACATGTGAAGGAAGCTGGTTACAGAGACAAAGATGCGTGGAGTAACCAAGGCAAGATTTTGAATATTAAAGACACAGTATACACTTACGCCAGTAAATATTATGTTTCAGTAATTATATATATATATATATATATATACACACACACACACACACACACAGTGGTACCTTAGTTCTCGAACTCATTAGAACTCGAATTTCTTAAAAGTCGAATCAACCACTTCAAAAAAAAAATTACCTACTGTATAGCTCAATTTGAATCTCAGAAGTCAAACTGTGAACGCCGACCTAAGATAACTTGTACGTGCGGGGAAATGAGTCACGCAGCACGTCTCTCAGCGGAAACAAAGGGTAAAGCTTCAGTCTCAGCCTCGCATTCGCTGTGATAGCACAGTGCATGTTTACACTAACTGAATACATATATTTAGACAGTAAAACTACATTTAGACAATGACAGACAGTAACAGTAATTATTATATAATAAAATACATTTTTTAAAAAAGATTTACTTTATTTCATTATTTTAATATTAATAATAAACCATTAATACATTTAATTATAATAATATTGTCCTGCCGAGTGGGGATGGAATGGAGACAAAGGCGCAGACGTCAGGGTATTGGGAAATATGGGGTTTAATTACAGGTAAGTCAGGCGAAACGCAGATGGACAATACAATGGCCGGACTGGGAAAACAAACTGAAATGCGGACGAAATACAGAAGACTAATGACAACAACCAGAAACAGCTGATTCCACACGGGGTTAACGAGGGGAGTGGCACACGGAAGGAGCGGGCCATCGGGGCAGGACATATTGTTTGGACACATTTATTTTCTTTACAAATGACTGTTTTGATAAATGTGCTTAGATAAGATTAGTACAATATATGCTCTTCTTGTTTTATCCTGTTCATATTGTGTTTAAATGCTTAAAAAATATATATATTTAGATGTAATTTTTTGGGGGCCGGGAACCAATTAATTGGTTTTCCATTATTTCTTATGGGGAAAATTCGATCACAACTCAAACTTTTTAGGATTCGATCCTTAGTTCTGAACGGATTAAATTCGAGTTCTGAGGTACCACTGTGTGTGTGTGTGTGTGTGTGTGTGTATGGTTTTATGTGACCTGAATCATTTGCAGTATTGTTTTTGGCTTACACGCCATATGTGAGTTTCTGTGATCTTTTGACAGGCTCCAAAAACATTCCTCTTTAATTATTCACCACCAACTCATGAATGATCAAAACTGTCAATGGAAAATGTTCAAATGGGAAGTCCTGTACCTGTAATTTTTTAATGTACACAAGACTGAAGCGAAAGCCAAACTATCACAATACAAATGTAAATGTCTAATTTGAGATTAAGAGAAGAAGATGATAATGCTGTTGATTTCACATGGATTACACCATAACATTTGCTTTCGCTAACACAGTAAGTCATTCTAATACAGCAGTCCAGAAGGGAATGGTCGAAACACATGGACGGGTGTCCTGCTTTGTGTTGTGTTGAGGCTCAGTGTGTCACTTCTTGGATAATAGCACTGGTTTTGAGTTTTCTTGATTGATTACAGCTGCCACGTGTGACTGAGCCGAAGCGAGGCTTGCTCTTAACTCTCCACCCTGGCAGTAAAGTACCTAGAGTAGAGCTTGCTGTACATGGATTGGTTGTCCACCCTGATGATGTTTCTTAGACACTGCCAGAACCATGGCTCAGCAGAGGGGTTCCGGGGCCATTCCAGAACGGTCTTCCCGCAAAGCCTCCTCCTCAGGTGTAGGAACTGTGAGTGCTGCAACACTGGCTCCAGAAGCAGCAGCACGATCACATCCACATTTTCATCCAGCAACCTCTGGTGGGCCAAGTAGATGGCCATCTTGAAAATACCACTCTGGACGTAGGCCTCTGTCAGAACAAAGATGGTCTTGCGGCTCTGCCGGATGCTCTGGGAAAGGCTGTCAATCACGGGGCTTCCAGGCGTCCAGTCCCGCTCCTCCAGGCAAATGGGCAGGGCTATCTCTCCACACTCCTCCAGCTGTATGCGAAGGTGATTGAGGACCCAGTCTGAGACGTGGGAGTCTTTTGTGTCGTATGTGATAAAAGCCTCATAGGAATTGCCACTGGACCCAAGGTAATGATAACCTTGAATCTTTGCTCTCCAGTAGTGAAGAATGTAGGAAGCATCCCAATAAAACAGATGCATCATGATAGCTATCACCATAAAGGAGAATACAAACGTATAACAAAGAAAGTAAATAAGAAATGCTTCACTGTTATTTACACATTGCTCGATGTCAAAGGTGACTACAGCCTTGCCCCTCAGTAGATCTGGCATTCTACAGGTGACATCCGTAGCTAAGTGGTTGATGTTAATGTCACCATTTTTCAACCACAGGATGAACTCTAATACATCGCAAGTACAACAAAAAGGATTGCCCTCCAGGTGCAACAAATTCAAATAATTGTTTGGTCCGGATAAGAAAGTGGACTGATTGATGACTGTAAGTTTATTGTGGCCAAGGTAAAGTTGCTGAAGACTTCTAGCATTTCTCAAAAATCCACCATAAAGCTGTGATATTTTATTATTATTGAGTCTAAGTATGCAAAGAGTATTTGTAATGGCTGAAATATTCCCCGATACATGAGTTAAGTGATTATAGCTTAAGTCTAGAATTGTTAGGTTTTTAAACCAAATCAGCTTATCCCACTCAAAAGTTTTAAGAGCATTATGTCTTAAATTGAGTTCAATGATTGTCTGTGGTAAGTTTTCATAGACTCCCAATGGTATCTTGTCTATCTTGTTGTAGGATAAGTCAAGTTTTGTCAAGTTTACAAGGTGTTTGAAAATTTCGAAATAGGAGTTGTCCCTGTCTTTCCACATTTTGTTCAGGGAGTTATCCTGGAATCGCAGCTCCTGCAGAGAGTTGCTGATCATCTTTTTGCTAGTTAAAGTGAAGATGTTATTACTGCTAAGATTAAGTATTTTCAACTCAGGCAGGTTCTGCATAAAGTTCAAATTGTGCGTCACTCCAGATATACTAAAATAATGGGGGTTATAGCTCAAATCTAATACTTTCAATTTTTTCATCTCCTTGAAGGCATTGTCATAGGCCAAGTCTATCTTATTGTGAGATAAGTCCAGATATGTCAGGTTTGGCAATGAACTGAACTCGGTTCCATTTAAAGCAGCTGTAAAGCCATTATTTGACAGGTTCAGACAGGATATATTGCTATAGCCTTCAAATTGCTTAGGGGAGATGAAGAAGATGTTGTTTGAGCTAAGGCTCAACACACGGCCAGAAGAATAACATTCAGGTTTCACAGGTAAGCGGTCCTCTTGATAATCCTCATCCTCTTGATAGTATGTCAGGGGTGCAGGCAGCTGAAAGTCATTAGATTCACTTCCTATGCCATACAATGCCTTTGTCTGTCCTGTAATCGGATAAAGCCTATTCTCTGACAAATATACCAGTTTTATGTTAGGAAATCTTGAAAACACACCAGGTTCTGTTTGAACAATGAAATTTGTCCCAAAGTCTAACAGAGAAAGATTTTTTAAATTATAAAGTGGTTTTAAATCTACGTTACGAATCTGTTTAAAAACATAACCTGCAATATGCAAATATTTAAGAGACACCAGCTTAGAAAAGTTATTTGAAAGATTGAGTGTTGAAGGGTATGCCATCCTGTTATAGTTAAAGTTTAGGTTCATTGTCTGTAGATGTGGTAGATAGTTCAAAAAGTTTCCATGAGCTATTTCATCTACTAAAAAATTGAAGGAGAGATGCAGCACACGAAGATTTGGTAAACATTCAAACCAAGAGCCTTTGAGAGAGTGCAGTGAATTTCCTGAAAGTTGCAGTATTTTCAAGGCTGAAAGATTTCTAAATGCCCAAGAATGAATGTCGATGGATCCATTTGGACAGGGAATGCATGGATAAGGTGAATTGTAGCATCTAGGACAGTTTCCTTGCAAATAGAGTTCTTTTAGTTTTGTCAATCCGCTAAAATCATTTTCCAAGATGTGCTGTATTTTATTAGAACTCAAATGTAATACTACTACTGAGTCTGATATTTTGCGTGGGACATTTGTTATGTTATTAAAAGATAAGTTCAGAAATTTTAACTTAGGTAAGTCCCAAAAGCTGTCATTTTGGATATAAAAGTTTTTTTTACAAGGCATCCAGTAATAACAGTTTTTTGAGAGGTCTATGTATGTTATATTTTTCACCGCAGAGAAGGTGTACTGAGTGACTTTAGTTATCTTATTCCTTGTCAAGTAAAGAGTTCGCAAACTGGGTGGGAGGTTTTCTGGAACATCTTGAAGGCAATTTCCATCCAATTTCAAGTAATTTAAGTTGGTCATGTTCTGGAAGATCCCTTTAGGAATTTGAACTTCCTGTTTCATGTTGAGCCACCCAGCATAAAGCTTCTTCAGTTTGTGCAAATCATGGAAGTCACTGATGGAAATGTTTTTTATATGGTTTTCAGAAAGGTAGAGGATTGTTGCATTTCTGCTTATCTCACTGGGTACTTCTTTCAACCTGCGCTTCTCACAGTGAAAAATAACATCTGTTTTTATCTCGGAGACATCACATGGATTAGTTCTGGAGATCCAGCCTGGTCTCACAGCCTCAGTCAGAAAGAAACCAAGTGCAAAGAGCCAGAGTTTGAACCACTTTAGAAAAAGAGCCTGCAAACAAAAACAGTTACTTCAATAGTTATAGTACACACTCTACAAAGGCTTGACTGCTAGTTGTAGCCCAAGATTTCTCCATCATGGGCAGGCATAGTGCAGGCAGAAAGAAGGTGATAATCCATGGTGCAGCTCGGACGAAAGAGGGGTTTGACAAAAACAAAACACAAATGGTCAGTCAGGAAAAATGGATCACGAGGGGTAAAAATTAAAACAAGTACCACAAAAATCTAACTAAAATACTCACAAAGAAAACAAACACTAATCAGGGAACTGGCACAAAACTGGGAGCAGGGGGGTGTTCCACAATGCAAGATTAAGGGAAAGTCTGACTTATTTCGACAAATATCAATATGTCTTAAATGAATCCCCGCTGAGCTACCATGGTAACTTAGGCGAGTGAACAAGTCTGCGAGTTTATTACCTACAGTGCGTTTTTCTGTTTTAAGTGACGTTTTCGTTTGAGTTAGCGGGAAGGTGAGTCTTGTATATATGTATATTAAAAAATGAAACCCTGTAGTCAATGCTGTGAGTAACAGTAATACGAGGAAGCAGAGAGTAAAAACCATATTTTCTGAAATAATCTTCTGCGTGATACGTCCATAATATGGAGAACAGAGCTGAGATTGCAATATAATCAATATAATAAAGCCTAAACAATCACGTCTCAGCATTCCAATTAATTCCAAAATAACTAAAATAAAAGCGTACCCATATTACAAAGGTCAAACATGAAATGTGCTGACTGAAATTGAAAAAAAATCTGTTAAAAGAATATGAACAAGAAGATATTTTTATATTTTGTTTAGTCACAGTCTACTTTGAAAGTTTATTACTAAAAAGTAAAGACAAGATACGGTTATTTGTGCAGAACATTTCACACGGATGCGATTTAAAGTATTTTATGGAAATCAAATAATACAGAATAGCATTATACAGTAAGAATGACACTTGAACTCAACTCAGAAGGTTCCCCAGTGGCTATGGGGATCGAACCACTGTACCACCGTACCATGGTACTGGGCACTTGTAACATTTAAATAACCTACGCATTTAGTCTGCCTGCAATTCTTTGCCAAGCCAACTCCCTGGCTTTATTTATGGCCACCATATTGCCTTTTTTTAGCGATTACATCCTTGTATTCTTCATACAGCTCTATCAGCAGTGCTTGTTCTGCGGCAGAAACAACGCTCCCGTTTTACACGCTTTCCGACTCATTTGATCGATCTATCGTTCATTCATTCATCTGGGCTTCTTAAATATCTCGGGTGTGCGCACTAAGTGAGACTATGCAAGTCTGTCTTGTATCAGCCTTGATTAGTTAAAGCTGAACTGCGTTAGTGGAATGAAATGAGGCTAAGTTTAGAGATGGAGGTAGTTTAGGTCTGACTTTTCGGGAAAGTTTGGCTTTCTTTAGCTACTTTCATGGAATACCCCCCAGGACTGGGAGACAAAGAAAAGCAACAACAGGCAGTAACATGTACAATGACTAACTGGGGAAATTAACAAAGGTAGGCACTTAAATACACTGATAACGAGGACTAACAAAAGCATCAACCAATCAACAAAGCTATGGAACAATAAGTCACAGGTGAAATAACTTACAATCAACAAGAGCAGGAACTAGGGTACATTAACAAACACTAGGAACAAGTAGAAGCAGAAGATAATAAAGCAGAGCACAAGGAGCCAAGTTTGCACCCACAAGTAGAGGGGTGTCAGCTTCTGAGCTACTCACCCAACCCACTGGCAGTGGGGGGAGCAGGGAAACACATTAGGGACCAGGGGCGACAAGACAGAGGAAACAGGGTGGCCAGCAACACCTGCTGGCCAGACCGGGGAGACACATGGGACAGGGCCAGAAGGGCACCGACTCTGACATTCTCTTCATTTCATAAATCACACATTATACATTAATGCATTTCTATGTATTAATTTTCACAGTTATCACTCTTATGCTTCCTAAATTCTTACTATCTGTTCCTCTTTTACTCTAGTCTCATGTATTATTTAGCTGTTTTAATTCAAAAGCCGTTAACTATCGCTATCATGTTTTATGTTTCTTTTTCAGGGCTTGCGAAATATCTATATTCCTAGAAGCCCTTCGGACAGGCATTCTTCAGATTTAGGTAGCCCAAAATTAATTCTGGCTAAAAAGGACCATTTTTAAGTGCATCTATATACAAGAAAGCAATAAAAAAAAACATTTAAAAACTCAACATGGAAACATGGAAACATGTTCTAAAGGTCATTGCTATCCTTTCACTTTAGGCAAACGTGTTACTAACAGGACAGAAGCAAAATGAACGGGTCACCAGCAGCATCCCTGGGACACAGCAGGCTGTCAGCATCACAGACATCAAGAGAAGAAAGCAAAGAGAAACTACTCCTCAGATGCATGCATCAGGGATATATTGATCAATAATTTGCCTTTAAACATATTCAGTTATGTGTGATCAAACGAGATTTATTGTGATAACAACAACAACAACAGGCAGAGCACAATAACATTAAAGGGGCAGTTCACCCCAAAGTAAAAAAAAAAAAAACATATTTTTCGAATAGGCTGTATCCATCTAGATTATTGTTTTGAGGGTTGCCTAGTTTTGGAGATATTAGCCAGAGAAATACCAGCCTTCACTCGAATATAAATGGGACTGATGCCATTCTTTCTGTGGTGATTAAAGCGGCAAAAAAATGCATTTGAAAAATTCAGCAGCAGTGCCTCTTACTGGAAATTATGACCCGATTATTCAAGATAATCCATAGACATTGTAGTGAGCAGTTTCATGTAGGAACTATTTTTTTTTCTACTGAACTCCACACACCACCCGTAGCACTGCTCAGAAATTAACACCGGGCCTCATGTGCATTGTGATCAGGTGTTAACATCGATGGCGTCCTCCTTGGCTGAGCTCTAACGTTAGCTAGCTCAGTGGTGCCAGTTAACGTGCTAGCTAGCAGTATTAGTTAGCATCAGTTACCAAAAATAACAAATAGCAAGAATACTATCATAGAAGACGATATTTATCCGCTAACACGCCACTCTCCTATATCACTTCTGTACAGTTTCAGTTGTGTCATTGTGGATCTTTAATATAACCAACCTCTCTGTTTGACCTAGGCTGGGGTGTCGGGAAAGGCCTTCCAGCATCTACAATCATCTGCTGCTACAAACTCCATCTGATTATACAGAAACATGCATTCATTTGGCTATCTTATAATAATAGTTTTTATAATCTCTTGTGCATTCACCACCCAGTTTCACCTCTGTTTAGTATTTGATTTGGACCACGAAAAGAGGAGGATGGAACCATTGGACCCATTTGTTTTGTGTTTATTGATTGTAGTAATTTATTTCAATAGGAAGTCCATAACCAACAGTCATAATAGCTTGATACTTCTATCTCACAAAGCAGCACAGGGCTATCATTGATGTGTATATTTGATCACATTGTTAGGGCCACCACAGGGCTATCATTGATGTGTATATCTGATCACATTGTTAGGGCCACCAGCCCTGGCACTAGATTTTGGCAGATAGTTGATATTATCAATAAATGCAATATTTTTCCTTATAACTATATTGATATAATCAAAAATGTGTGTTTTCATTGTTAGTTGCAAATTATTCTGTTTTCACCAGGTCAGACTGTGTTATCAGATTAAAAACCAAACACATGAAAAATCCTTTTTTCCTGCAGTTCTGTGATAAGCACACCCCGCCAAAAAGATGGACCACATCGCATATCCACTGTGCGCACAGCTAAACCCCAGCTTGTGTTTCTTGTTAATAATGCACAGTAAATTCAGCTGTGTCTGTAGATATTTAACAGAATACACAGTATATAGAGTATATGTAATGATTCATCAACATTATTCTTAGAATAATTTAATTGTATTTGACTACTCACTCAGCCATTGTTATATTAATTATTAAATCTCAACTAATGAGTTGCTGAAATGTTACAAATGCTCTGTATGCCCTCTGTCCAAATAAGGTGTTACTGAAAAGAATGGGTCTTGAGTAGTTTTTGCCTTTGTATCATGAGTTGTAAACACATAAAAAGGGCTTTCATGTGCTACACCTGCATTCAATTGTACAGTGTTCTGTACAGTGCCATAGAAACTGACATTTTACGTACACACGTGAACCAAATATTGGACATCGTAAGCTGTATTGCACTGTTTTAAGGACATTTTTAACAAAAAATATTACCCATGTATTGCTTCTAAGTGGAAATGCAAAATAGGCTGTCTAAAAGTTCATTCATTCATCAGTCATTCATTCATGATCACGTGTTTAGTATGGATAATCACGATATTTCTTGTGGCAGTAATCGATAATGTAAATTCAGATATCAGCCTAACACTATCTGGTGCTATATTCTGCGCAGTGATGTGGTTTGTGTGTGACATTTGGTAGGAAGAAAACAGTTCCTACTTGGGGTGGGCAGTCTGACGATTATATATCTTGAAGATGTTGGCAATCTACTTTTCATGCGAATTGTAGAGATTGTGATCTTACCCAATCTGATGTGGCCGAAAGAAATACGTATTAACGAGATCAAGTTAGGTCGTGAAAATTTCATGAAACGAAGAGGTACAAATTGGGCACCATCCTAAAATATGCCATAAAATGCTGCACATGCTCAGTCATGCAAGGTACAAAACGGGCGTGCGGAATAGAAACGTCCACTTGTTTGTTCGTTCGTTCATTCATTTGCTCGCTCACTCACTCACTCACTCTCCCACTATAAAGTGCTACATAGTACACTCACTAGTGAATAAGGGCAGACAGCAGTTGATGCATTTCAGCCACTAGGGGGTTGTTATGCTGCTGCGTAATTGTGTGCTGGATAAAGGTAATTGATATCTGTGTTGCATAAACAAATGCCAGACCATGGGCACCAAAGTTGATATTTTTGGATAAGTACACCTTGTGACTGACATGTCTTTACAAAATTGAAATAAAAATAAAACTTTACAGCATTTGACTGTACTGTATCCACCTATAAAGGCATGGTGGGGGCTGCAGATGTAACTATGGTATTTTATACTAATCTTCACAAAGCTTTCTGTAAACCTTTTCATGTTTTCCAGAGGTAATCCATTCAACCACCTTTAAGGGCAGCACACGACAATTTTAAAAATATTTTGAAAACAGATCCTTAGGCTTGGTCAGGCCTGCATATTCTTGACAATACATTTCAAAACTGGGAAGAAAATTCAAAGATCGTGAAATTATTTTTTTGGGAAGATCACCCACCCATAGTTCCTACCAGAAAACTGGGTCATGATGTCTGTTAGGAGACATTGCTGTTCAATTTTTCAAATGCACTTCCTAGTTTACAAACCGTCATCATGATCAACAACTCGTTCATTCGGTAGTCAGCTTTTTTCTCAAAATAACTAGTCAAAATAACAGAAAAGTTGAATAAAGGAGGAAGTTTTATTTTACTTTATAATTTCTGACAGTCTATAGGGTAGGGTAAATTTTGGTAGCCCGACAGGAAAACTTGATTGTCCCAGGATATCAGGCTAATGATTTTATGAGCCCTGATTTTTTGATGCAGTATAATGCCCAGCCATTGCAGATAACCATTTTCCACCTATTTTCTGTAATCAGTTGTCTTATTCAGGTTTGCAGGGGGTCGGGAGCCTATCCTGGAAGCTAAGGGTATAAGGCAGGTAATAGCCCAGCCTGGGGCACCAACACATTGCAGGTACCTTGTAATGAGTTTTTATATTATCCAAACTTAGCTTAGATGCATCATATTAATATTAAATATGATTAAAGACACTGTAATTTGCACGGCACTTTTTAATACACAAAACAGATGAGCACCCCCTGTTGGCCTAAAAAAATTACTTTCAACACTGAAATGCTTTCTCTAGAGTTGCCATAAACATCTAGACAGTACTAAAGGGCTGAATCTAGAAAAATTCCCTAGATTTCCCATTCGGATTGAATATGGTGGCTCATCAATAGAAAAGAAAAACTCCTTGTATACTCCAAGCTCCGTAACAACAGCACAACAACCCTCCTTCACCTAAGTCCATTTGTGAAATGCAAATTCAAATTCTAGCAATGCAGCAAAAACTCAGTCATTTTGTGAAGCAAACATGTAATGCATATTATGTGATAAAATGCCTTTTTTGCCATTAACTGTTGTTTGACATCTATGCAGTACTGATAATTGTAAATACAGTTAAACTGACGTAAACAAGGAAGTTCATAACAATCAGTCAAAAAGATCTCACATATTAATACAGCTAGTCAGACAACAGTGCAGACTTACCATTTTAATGTTATCAGATGTCATCTTTTAAAGCACAAAGACAGCATGTAAAACAAAGTAACTTCATGTGTCTGTAGATTCTCACAATCCAGCAGCAAACTTCTGCTTGTGGCTATTTCTACATTGACTCTTAACCCTTTGGGGTCATGTTTTTATGGGGAGGAACTATTCATTTTGAAGTTTTCACTTCGTTAAAACGTTTTAATAAGGACATTTTTTTGCACAAGAAATTTTGTGCACATCTATTGACAAAACGAGTAATTACGTTTACATATACATACAAATCAGCTACTGTTCCTATTTAAACAATATTATGTTCAGATGAAGAAAACCCCCACAGCTCACAGTCCAAAATATGCTTTTCATTAATCTCATATAAAACTGGAATGCAGATGTTCTCCATGACTTATTTGTGCTAAACCCAATGCATATTTATAAGCAAGAAAATAGCAGATATATACCAGATACCAGATATAGTTATATGCAGTTCTGTTTGTCCCATGGCCACATGGTTTTATGAGGAAGTTTAGACGGTTCACTTCTCCATTTGGGGTTTAGCAGCACAGCCCTCACTAAATACTCTTTTAAGGTTACAGTTTCAAAATAAATGAGAAAAAACAGAGCACTTTACCATTTTCAGATAAACTGCAATGTATAATATAAAACAAACAAATAATTAATTTACAATGATAGGAGAGACAATACAAGAGCAACATATTAAAAAGTCATAACTAATTTAGTTAATATAAATTGCATGTTTCAGTGATGTGAATTTTAATGTGGGCCTTGAAAAAATCCCATAACATTTGCCCAGTATCTGTTTGCTGAATGACATTTCTAGCATGCTCAGCTGGCAGATTCTTACCTACCCTGTCTGCTACCCAAATAGATCTGCTGACTGTCCCTCCAGCAGTTTTCAAAGCCGATGTCACTCAAAGTTCCAAGATTTTTATATCAATACATCTCTTTTGAAATAATTGGCTGATGAGAAACTTGCAGCTGCATCTGTTTTTATGAAATGTTTGGTTAACAGCAGGTGTGTCAGACCCTGCCAGAGGCCTGTTTGCTAGGTTATATTTCATCTGGGGAAGGAAGGATATCATGAAAAACTAACAGCATGCTGAATATGTATGTCAGAGGTGGCCAATCTTATCCGCTGGTGTGTATGCAAGTTTTTGGGGTAACCTTTAGGTCAGCTGTTCAAACCCAGGTGTGAGGACTCCTCAGCCAATCAGTCCTCTAATTAGTAATATAATTAGGCAGCTGCAGCGAAAACCCGTACACACAGCGACCCGTTGCAGATAAGATTGGCCACCCCTGATGTATGTAGTCCTTATTCTGGTCTTCTGTCAGGAAATGTTGGTCCAGTCAGGCCATAGTGACCTGAAGTCTGTGCAAGACATGGAGTAGGTTACAGCAATGACACTGTGCTAATCCATCTGTCACAAGGCAGTTTATTGTGCATCTGTACAGTACCAAATTAACAGGTGCTTGACAGAATTCCATGGGTTTTACCAGGTGAATCGATGGGAGGTTCAGGAAGGAAATATAAACATTGCACTGACAAAACTTGGTCTATAACAAAACCCTAATGATGAACCTTCATAAAGAATCAAACTCAGTACCACTGAGCTGCAATCTTCTAGACCTTTCTGTTTCTAGAATCAAACTCAGTGTCATCGAGCTGCAATCTTGTAGACCTTTTTCTAGAGCTCAGAGCACCAAATCTGAAACCACATCACTAAATACACACCATGTACAGATACAAATTCTTCACTGCTGCCTTTTTATACACTAAATCAAATTGCCAGCCATTCACATTTAATACTTATTCCTTTCATTATTATTAGCTCAGTGTTCTTTAACATTCATTCAGCAGAATGGAATGTGGTGCCTTCAGTGTCCAGTTCTTTCTCCCTGCATCCATTTAATTTGAATAAAGCATGATGATTAATCCTAATGCTCCATGACCACACATGCTTCCAGCAATTGAATTCATGACTCAATCTATGACTGAAATGCAAACTGGAAAGGTACCCAGCCTTTCCTGTCATACAGATTAGATAGATACATACAGGGATGTCATTAGCAGCTCCATCTAAAGGGTCTCCTGGAATAATTTGCTGTATTGTTGGCGGCCGTCCGTGGCCATTGCACTCCTGAGACAAAACCAAAAGTATTGCTGGGCTTGGGGGTTCTTAGGCCACTCCAGCACAGACCTCCTGTAAAGTCTCCTGCGCAACCTCAGGTACTTGGATTGTCGTGGAGGGTCCTCCAGGAAAATCAGAACAATGACATCAGCCTTTTCATCCATCAAGCGCTGATGTGCTATGTAGAAGGCAGTTTTGAAGTTTCCACTTCGTAAAAACTTTTTCGTAAGGACAAACACTGTCCTTTTACTCTCCTGGATGCTCTGAGAGAGGCTGTCAATCAGAGGGTATCCTGGTATCCAGTCTCTCTCCTCCAAGCACAGGTGTAGACCAGGATCTCCTCGTTCCTCCAGGTTGACCCGCATCTCATGCAGCACCCAATCAGAAACAGCTGGATCCTTCACATCGTATACTATAAAGGCATCGTAGATTGCACTTTGAGAAGACAGGGGCTTATAGCGCTTCAGCTTGGCTATGCAGAAGTGGTAGATGTACCACACATCCCAGAGGAAGAGTTGGCTAGAGATGGAGAGTGTGAGAATGCCAAGGATCAGAGAGGTCTGTATGATGTAGAGAGTGATGGAAAGAGAGTTGTGCTGACAGGTCTCCAGGTCCAGGAAAAGGACACTTTGGCCCACTTGAGCACTGGGAGCTGCACAGGTGACGTCTGTCGCCAGCCTTGGGATATTCACTGTTGTGCGGTTAACCCACATAACAAACCAAATTGCACTGCAAGTGCACATAAACTTGTTTCCATGTAGGAGCAAAGTTTGCAGGTTATTGGCAACATTTTCTGGGAAGCTGGTTTGTTCGATATATTGAATTTGATTGAAACTGAGATCCAGATATTTCAGACTAAATGCATCCTTCAGAAAATGTGGAGTTAGGGCCGATATTTTATTCCGTTGTAGGATTAGTTTTTCAATGCTTTGGGTGCAGTTGGAAAGTTCATTGGGAACATCTTCCAGCAAGTTCCCACTGAGATCTAAGACTTTCAGTCTATTAAGCAGCTTAAGCATCTCCCATTTGAATGTGTTCAGCTTGTTGTTTTTCAGGTAAAACCGAGAGAGAGATTTTGGCAAACCCTGAAAAACAAGTGGAGGGATGAAATTTAAATTATTTTGGGAGATGTCCAGACTGGTCAGCTTTTTTAATTTTTTAAAATAGTTCACATATCTTGTGTCTCCATCTCTCCATAACATATCCAGTCGGTTGCCCTTAAATTCAAGTCGCTCAATAGAATTGCTCTCCATCTCTGTGTTTGTCGAAGTAGAAATTTTATTGTGGTTCATCAACAATATTTTTAGCTTTGATAAATGTCCTGTAAAATTTAACATGTGTGTCAGACCTTCAGAGTCAAAGTAATGATTATTGTAGCTAATGTCTAATATAGCTAAATTTTTCAGTTCTTGGAATGCTGTAGAATACAGCAAATCCAAGCGATTGTATGAAAAGTCTAGATACTGTAAATTAGTCAGATAGGTAAATTCAGAGCCATTTAAACTCTGGCTCATAGCATTTCCTGAGAGATTAAGGCATCTGAGCTCCTTGAGGTTCAGGAACTGAGGGTCTAGAAAGAAGATGTTGTTCCGACTGATATCAAGCGTTTTTCCAAACTTACTGCATTGCTTTTTGGTAATTGAATTCAATGAGCCAGCTTCTTTGTCTTTATCTCTGCAGCTGCGTGCATATTCGTCATACCTAAAATAGTGTATTTCTCTCACTTCCCCGTTGTAATAGGGTGCTGAACTTGCCATTGGTGATACAGATAAAGACACAGCTCTTGAGGATGCAAAGACGGTTCCTTCGGAGGGTGAAGATGGGGTGGATATTTTGTTGTCAGAGAGGTTAATTATTTTTAAACGTTTTAGTTCTTTTAAAATGCTGAGGTTGGCAATTTTAATGAAGTTGGTTCCAAGGTCAATGATTTCAAGATTTTTGAGATGGATTAATGGATCGATGTCTTCTCTTCTCAGCTCCTGGAAAACAAACCCTCTGATCCTGAGTGTTCTGAGTGATGTTAAATTTGAAAATGATTCGCTGAGGATAAGAGAATTTGGATATTTCTGCAGCTCATAGTTAAAGGAAAGGTCCAACTCTTCAAGCTTTGGCAAATATGAAGGAAAGGTGGCATCTGTTATATGCTTTGCCAAAAAGTTGCTTGATAAGTCCAATTCTTGAAGGCTCTCTATGCCTTGAAACCAGTGTGGCACCACTGATCGTAGAGAATTACTGTGAAGACGTAGTATCTTCAATTTCTTTAAATTTCGAAAGGCATTTTCATCAATGCTGAGAGGAGCGTAGTCAGGACACGGAACACAAGGGAAAGGTGCATTATAACAACGAGGGCAGTTCCCACTTAGATCAAGGACCTCCAGTTTGATGAGATTTAGAAAATCCTCCCCAGTTACACTTTTTATATTATTATTATAAAGATACAGCTCTTTTAGACTTGAAGGTAATTTGTGTGGGATATGAGACAGGTTATTGGATTTAAGAGACAGCAAAGTCAAATTCCTTAGTTGGATGAAAGCATCCTCATCAATATAGTATGAGGTGTTACATGGATTACGATAGTAACAATTCTGGCCAAAATAGAGAACTTCTATGTTGCTCAATTCTGAAAGGTTCTCTCTGAAAATAGAGTAGATGCTGTTTACTTCAAGACTAAGCAGAGTCAGACTAGGAGGAAGACCTGTGGGTATACTAGACAGCTGGTTCCCATCCAAATAGAGTGACTTCAGATTCTTCAAATGCCAAAAGCTCCCATTCTTAATGGTCACGCTCTGGGAGCACACATGGTCCTTGGGGCCGACTTTTACAGGGACACAGTTGCAGCGCATGTCGATCTCTGTGAGGTTCTCCAACCCCTGGAACGTGCTCTCCTGGATGAGAGAGATGTGATTGATCGTCAGAGTAAGGTTGGTTGTGTTCCTTGGGATATGTTTTGGAACATCTTTTAAGTCCCGCTTTGTGCAATCCACGGTGACTGTGCTCCTGTTTGGTTTCTGGCTGACTTCACACGGAAGGCTTTTGGGGTACCAAGTAGCAGAGACTAATATGTAGTAACAAAAGAGGATGAGGACTGTAGTTCTCCCACAACGAGGCACACAATCCATCATCTGCAATAAAATTATTATCAGTTATACACATCATAGCAGAGCCTTTTCTGAATTCAGCCTCTCCAGATTACGTTTAACAGCAAGGGCTATTAATCTTCCCAACATCTACAGCTGTAAAGATTTGAGTCTACTACAGTTATTCTACAGAAGATCTGCATATACTTATTGTTACAACATTGCAACCATTCATTAAATAAAAAACAACACATCAGTACCCAACCAGATTTTTTTTTGTTTTAAAACAAAATCTAGAACAATTGATTTGCGAATAACAATCCAAAAGCACTGACAGCAGACAGCTGCTCTGCCCAAATCACATTGAAAAAACATATATCAAAAAATGCAAAAATGTACTATGGAATGTTATTTTCATTACATATTATAGATTTTATACCAATATACAAAAATTACTCACCGCTATATTTAATTGAAAGGAACAAATCCACACAGTTGATTTTATGTTGTTAACTTTCAGTATGAAAATGAAACCTGAGGGGCATTCCCCCACATCAAGACAACATGTGAAAAGAGTTTATATATAGCCGGACTTCCTCATTGCAGCACAGCTTTGCAAACCACAGGTTTAAGTCCTGCCCTAAAATACAAGCTAAATCAATTAGTTTGAGTGTGTGTCCTGTAAAGGGCTCCTGGCATCCTGTCCAGGGCATACTTATGCTTTGTGTCATAAGATGCTAAAGATAACATCTTATCTGCCTTCCTCTACCCTGTCTTGCTCCTGTTTGGCCAGCAGATGTCACTGCTGGCCATCCTGTGTCCTCCTTGTGTAGTTCACTTAACAGCTGGTTTCTATACTTTGTAATTAGTTAATCATCATCATGTACAGCTGTTCCTTGTGTAGCCCCGCTAGTCATGTACA